GATAGATAGATAGATAGATAGATAGATAGATAGATAGATAGATAGATAGATAGAGCAATAAACAGGAATGACCCACCCCAGGAACACACCTTTTTCAACAAGGCCACATCTGCCAATCCTTCCTAAACAGTTCCACCAACTGGGGAAGAAGCACTTACATATGAGCCTATGGGGGTCATTCTCATTCAAAGCACCACAATAAAGTTTATGAAAAACTAACGATGAGGGCCTGGGTAGATGGCGCACTCATTAAGAGAGCATCCTCCCTGTCTTAGGTATGTTTTCCATTGCTGTGATAAAACACCACCGCCAAAGGCAACTTAGGGAGGAAAGGGTTTCTTTTGCTTATGCTTCTGTAGCACGGTCCATCATGGATGGAAGTCAGAGCAGGAACCTGGAGGCAGAAACTGAAGCAGAAGCCGCAAAAGAATGCTGCTGACTGACTTGCTCAACCTGCTTTCTTACGCACCCCAGGACCGCCTCTTCAGGGATGGCCCCACCCACAATAGCCTGGGCCTTCCCACATCAATGATTAATTAAGAAAATGCACTATAGATGTGCTTACAGGCAAATCTTATGGAGGGATTTTCTCAATTGGCAGTCCCTCTGGTGACATAAGTGACTCTATCTTGAGACATAAATGATTCTATCAAGTTGACATAAAACTAACCAGCAACCCTGATCTTGCAAAGGATCTAAGTTCAATCCCTATCATCCATGTTGGGTGGCTCATAGCTGCCTATAACTCCAGTGCACCGCCATGGCCTCTATGGGCCCCTGCGCTCACATGGACAAGCATACATAGAGACACTTTAAAATGAGGCATTATGTTGGAGATATTGGTGGGTGCAGCACGTCCAGCCCCAGGAAGGGCATGATACAGAGGCGTGCGTTAGCTTCTTATGCCCAATAGACTGAAGCCACGTCTGTAGATGTGAATTAGTGGGTCCCTCTGAGAAAGAGTGGGACCACCTCCAGGAGGGTGAGCCACTGCAGCCCACACCTCTCTGTCTTCCAGGTGACGCCGCGCACACCGCCTCCATCCCAAGGAAAGGTAAGACCTTATACATTCTGATCCATTGTCAGCCAATACAGATAATTACTTAGAAATTAAAACTGTGTTCTGAATAGAACTGGACTCAGGGCTCCCTAAATCCACTCCAGTCTTGCTCCCAGAGTTTCCCAGTGGGACACAGCAGCATCCAGTCTCCAGCTATGTATACGAGGCCAGTGCATCACTGCACTGTTCTCCTGAGCCAGGATCCACCACATTCCGGTCTTGGAGCTTCAGGTGGCCTTGCCAACCCCTGGATCTGGCGCACTGAAGAGAGCCTGGTCCCACTGGGGGGAGGCATGCCATTTTGGTGTTGCTGTTGGTTTCAGGACTTTGCCCCGGGTGATCATCACTACATCGTCACTGTTTCTTTCGTCACTGTTTCTTTCTCTTCCCCACAGGGGAGAGGCCTGTCCCTCAGCAGATTTAGCTGGGTAGGTGATGACCGCATTTCCTCTGCTTCCTCCTCCTCTGCAGCCTGCATAGCCCTCTGACCTCTAAGTTCTTTCGGAACCTTAACACTTGCCTTCTCTTTCCTAGCCAGCCCAGCTCACCAACCGCAGTGGACAGGCTGTTTTCTGTTCCAGGGCAGGAACAAAGCCTTTCGGCATGGATTGCTGCCAGGCTGAGATCCAAGCCCTACCAGCCCAAAACCTCCTCCCAACAAGGGTTCTGGGTGCCTTCTCAGGGTAGAGGGACTATATCACACTGTAGAAAATCCCTAATTCCTCTTCAGTGACTGTGTTGGGGGAAAAGAGACCAGCAGACCAAACACAGAACGATGCTGGCCACCCCTTAAGACAGTACTGCAGATCCAAAGGAAGAGATGATAAATTCTGTTGTTTAGTTTCTAATACCCCCTTTCCCTGTTAATGCAGGAGATTTGGAGTTTTGTTTGTGTGTTAGCAGTGCCTAACACGGAGATAATAAACTGCCAAGAAAGATTCCTTCGGGATTTTAGATTTTAAGATACACGAGCAAAGTTTCCATGAAGTTTTAATTGGGTGAATGGCTTGGCTTCTAAACATCAGCAACACTTGATGTCTATGCCGATTTAAAATGCTTACTGATAAATCCTAACCAAATATATTGACCCCAGCTGCTAGCAGATACTAGATACGGCTCTTATCCTTGTAAACAGCTTAATTCTCAGAGCTCCATGGATACACAAACACCAGCCTGTTAGCCAGAGGAGGTGGGGTGAGAGGTTTTTGTCTGGGAACAGTGGGTACAAAGGCCATCTGTGCCAGCCAAACAATACACAAGAGAACGGTTTAAAGGGCGAGAGACAGAGAGATGAGAAAGAGAGAGGGAGACAGAAGAAAGAGGTGGGGTAGAAACAACAGTAGGAAGAAGTCGGGCATTAGAGCGTGGGGCACACACCTGCAAGGCCAGTACTCAGTAGGCAGAGGCAGGAGGACTCCTGAAAGATCAAAGTGAGCCTATATAGTGGGGGCCACAGAGTTGCCCAGTCTCAAAATAAAATCAAATACAATAAAATGAAGAGAGGGAGATGTGCAAGAGGAAGGATTACTTGAAAGACAGGAGACTCTGGCGACTGCCTCATTCCAGCGCTTTCTCACACTGAGCCGTGAACCGCTCACTGGAACATTCTATGTAAATGCACATTGGACCTGATTCTTTTTCTCACAAGGTAAATCTTCAAAACTGATGATGAGGTAGGCATCTACCTAGATCCATTCACAACCTCTTTTTGTTTTTAACCGTCTGTGCCATCAAGAGACAAAAATGATGTTGAAGGATGACATATGATTCTTCCCAGGATTCTTACTTTAGCCAATGCTCTTCATGTCTTAATTCTCTAGGTGTGGGTTGCCACGGCATTATGCAAAGACTGGGTGTGAGGGGGTGGGAGGAGGACACTTCATCCTGGTTCTGGGGAGGCCCTTTGACCCACCGGCGCACAGGTATCTCTGCATTCTCTAGTTTTGGTCTCTCCAGGACCCCGTAGGTCTCTCCTTGTCCAATGTTCTTCCAGGTTTTCGTTGTTTCCAGGATGGCCTTCTTGTCTGGTGCTTTCAGGAACTCCGTCTGGCTTGCTCATGTCTCTGTTGTATGTACCCTGTAATGTCTAGGCTTTCCAAGATGAAAGTGTCTGGGACAGTCCACATTACTCATCTGAAAGTTCAGCTGAATTCAGGTCTCAGAAGCTCTTGACTTTGGGGAAAGCCATATCCTGGAACAAAGGGACTCAGCATTCACTCAGAAAAGTCTGTGTGTCTGCCACTTAGCTGACTGCGTGTTTGGTGCTACGCTCCCCAAATGCCACAGCCCTTCCATGTGGCTTGCAGGAGTTCAGGGTGCACAAGTGGCTCCGGCTGGCCCTGAGGACCCAGCTTAGACCTTTCCACTTGTCCTTACCTCATCAGACCACCTGTAACCAAAACAGACCCCTGGCAGCCAGGGAGTACCACTGTCTGTCCCAAACACAAGCTAAAGGGAGGGAATTTTTGTTTTGCTTTGTTTTTGAGACAGGATTTCTCTGTGTAACAGCCCTAGCTGTCCTGAAGCTAGCTCTTGTACATCAAACTGGCCTTGAACTCACAGAGATCCTCCTGCCTCTGCTTCCTGAGTGCTGGGATTAAAGGCAAGAGAGCGCAATTTACTTAAGTACCAGTAATAGGGGTCAATGTCAAGTCATACGGTCTGGGTCCTAACTTCCTGCCCCAAGCCAGCCTACTTAGAAGTTCCTGGGATCTTTTTGATCCCGGCCACAGCACATCTAAGATGGTGGGTAGCTGGATTGCAGCTCAAGATCCTTCTAACCTAATGAGCTTCTGTGAATCAGTAAGGCTAATACGCTGAGGCCCAGGGCTGCTTCTGATGCTGGAGCTGTTAGCAGTTACTAGGTTAGCTACAACAGCTGGTTTGCCAGTTCCTCTGGTCAAAACCCAAGGCAAAGTCTTGAGCCCTACCCTTGAGGCCAACTTCTGCAAGGCAGGCAGAGTCTTCCTCCGGGATTGCACACTGAAGCTGGGTGAAGACTTTACCCGGAAGGGTGCTATCATCTCTCGAGCTGGGACCCAGAGAGTCTTGTATGTCCGTCATCACTGTCCACTACTGCATCCCACAGGGGGTGATCATCTCCACAGAGTGAGAGGCAGGAAGGGGTGCCTGTCCTCCTTAGTGGCCAGTTCCATAGGACGAAAGTGCAAAGGTGGGCACTTAGACTGTCCATCCTGTGAAGGAAAGAGCAGCACTAACCCCACTGTGCAGGAAACTGGGCTCACAGAGGCTCCCACACCTGCCCGAGGTCACCCACCTCCCAAGTGGGAGGAGCCGCTACCAGGTACAGCTTGCTTTCTGCACAGTGTCAGCGTCCCAGATAGGAGCCTGAATCTAGGTATCACTAAGGTCATCCTAGAGAGGCTGCCCTGGACCAGCGACTGGGAGATCAGTCTTTTACTGCAGGGAAGGTAAATCTCAGAGTTCAGAGAGTCCTCCCTCTCCCGGGCCACAGAAACAGCAGAACACCGGTAAGAAGAATTTAACCTGTGTAAGACTAGCAGACATGAACTTTAGCGCCAGGCACAGGGTGACCCTCCAGGACCCTGGGCTCCAGCACCTTTGCGCGCCTTCTGAAGATGTGCTTTCTTCACTGATGAGGGTGGAGGCCCTTGACGGGAATTTGAGAGATGTTTGTCTTTTTCTCGCAAATTCGACCTGGACAGAGTTCCGCAACTGCCCGTAAAATTGGGTGTTTGTGTCGCGCGCGCGCGCGCGGAAGGCAGAGCACCACCTGGTCCCTGCTGCTCAGGCTCCTGAGTGACTCACCAGTGCCCCCTGGTGGCTCATGTCCTCCTGGGTAGGCCCTGGTGGCAGCCACGAGCGGGAGACTGAGCTCTGGTCTTTTCTTGCAGGGGGCCGAGGGGCAGAAGCCAGGATTTGGCTACGGAGGCAGAGCTTCCGACTATAAATCGGCTCACAAGGGATTCAAGGGGGCCTACGACGCCCAGGGCACGCTTTCCAAAATCTTTAAGCTGGTAATGTAACATTTCTACCATGGGGAAACACCTGGGCACCTCTGTGGGAAGTGGGGGCCTAGAACCACGCTCTGTGGCTCTGTGTTCACTGTGCCCCACTCCTCCAGGCAAAACCGTGATCCCAGAGAGATGCCAGGGGTCAGGAAGAGTGTTAAGGAAAGATGAACTCCAGAAACCTCAGCTAAGCTCAGGCAAGGGTTCAGTCACCTTCTGCACCCACCACTTGCCCTCTCTTGTTCTTAGCCAACATAGCTCTGCCTTCCTTCTCGGTTTCCTAGGAAATTAATGTGGAGTCAAGAGCCTGTTAAAGGCTGCTGCTGTGTAATGTGCAGGCATTCCCCAGGCCTCTCAGTGAGCCCATAAGGTGCCTCTTTTTTCCCTAGAGGTCAAAGTCAGGTGGGCCACTAACCTGGGTCCCCAACCAAGGGCCTAGGTAGGAATGAGAGGCACCTGTATGTGGAAATGACTCATAGGCGCCCCCGCGGGGGCCGGCTTACTAAAATCACTCCAGGGGACCCGGGAAGACCCAGGAAGGGGCTGCATAGGTACCAGAATCATACGGACCCAGGGATAGATGCCAGAACCATTGTTTGTTAGTTTGTGGCCTCAGCTCCTGACTGTTCTGAGAGATAATTTCCTCATCCGTGGTGCCCATTTACATCATATCTGCTGAGGTGGCGGTGAAGGTCCTGGCAAGTGTCAAGTCACCAGGAGCTGGTCTACAAAGCAGTGCTGGCCTTGTGCAGAGAATCTCCCTGTGTAGTTGTAAAAGGGCTACCTGGAGGGGAAGGTCAGAGCTCAGAGGCGTCCTGTGTCCTCCCCAGGGAGGAACATGGGTGCCCAGACCAGGCTTTGACTCTGAACCACGTCCCAGTGTCCCCTAATGAGCCGAGCGGTGGTGGCACACGCCTTTAATCCCAGCACTAGGGAGGCAGAGGCAGGCGGATCTCTGTGAGTTTGAGACCAGCCTAGTCTGCAAGAGCTAGTTGCGGACAGGTTCCAAAGCTACAGACAAACCCTGTCTCAGGAAAACAACACAAAAAGAAACAACCTAATGAAAACTACCCCTTTTAACAAATCTCTGGCACTCTGAGTCTCCAGTGGTCAAGGTGATCACTGTCAGGAAGACCAGTATACTCTGGGCCAGGGCTGCCTTCCTAGGAAGAGACCTAGAGAGCTGGCAGACAGGGCCAAGACCTCTCAAATCTGAGAAGCCAATCCAGGTGCCCTGGAACTCAGCAGCCAAGGCAAGACTGAGGTGCCTTGGGAAGCATGTGGGGGAGGGGATGTTATATCCCTAGAGTGGAGATGTGACACTTGGCTAAGTTACAAAAGAGGAGCCAGCATACATGTAGAAGTATTAAGGGCAGGGGGATGTGTGGAGAAGACCTCAGAGGGTTCTAGGAGAAGGAGGCGACCAGCCGAGCTGCCTTTGACATGCTGGGCCAGGAGGAGAGAGGGAGCCCCGAGATGGAGACCCTTGAGTCTGATCCTGATTGAGGTTGTTCCAGGGACACAATGACGGCTGAGGCCTCCGTTCAGGTGTCAGGGTAACGGCTGATTGCCTCGGCAGAGGTGAGGAAAAGTAGCACCTGCTGCAGAGTCTCTGTGCCGGGTGACAGAGAAGAAACTGGGGTTTATAAAGGTCCGGGGATCTAGCAGCATGGCGAAGTCCCCAGTTGTGAGTCTACATCACAGAACCTCTAGGCTGGAGGGGAGCAGGGGGAGACACATTAATGTCTCTTCAAGCAGCTGTTGGAGGTGGCTTCCCATGCTCACTTAAGGCTCTGAGGCGTGTGTTATCCCTGAGTCCATAGTCCCTGACAGTCCTGTCACTAAGAGCCTCTGTCTGAGAAGTCCCCTTGGTTCTTAGTGTGGCATCCAAGCTACCATCCGCTCTTACTCCATCACCTCTGTGCTCTGCTGTCGCAGAGGCAGACAGCAGACACTCCCTCACAGTTATTCTCTGCTCTCCGCAGCCAGTTTCTTTTCTGATGCAAAGATGAACAGAGGGAACACAGAGGCCTGTGAGCCAGAGCCCCGACTGCAGGTGGAAGCCCCACCATACCCAGCTCCCTCCTTGGGTGGGACATTAATACTCCTGTAGGACAGTATCCAGGCGGAGGAGGCTGATGGTTGAAGGACCAGGCCGACTCACAGGCTGCAGCATCCGTACCAGCTGTGCTGTCCACACCAGCTGTGCCGTCCCCAGAGACTGGCCTTGGTGCTGGGTTGGAGATGCCCTCCTGGGTTCTCATTTCACCTCTCATGTTTTATGATCAAGGAGGCTGCATATCTGGGGGAAAGGCTTCTCGTACTTTCGACTCTAGTGTCTTTGCATCTGATAAGAGAGGGACATGACCTCCATTCTCGGGCCATCTGTCAACCCCTGGATGACAGTATGATGTGCAAAGGTTCTGATCCGCGCTGTCTGTTTCCCGAGAGATCCACCACAGCAGGAATTCAGCTTGTGACCGCGTGGGTCTGTAACACAAGCTCACTGAGTTAATTCCCAAGTCATGCTTTGCACGTATTTACTAGGGTGTGTCCGTGGTCAGCACACACAGGGCAGACACAGGTTTCTGAGTCCTCGCTAAGCGGGTGAGTATCTGAACCAGTCCACGGCAGGACCTACGGACTATGTGTTTTAATGCACAATGAGACCCATGTGGCTAAGAAAAGTTAGGAAGAAAGTCCCACGCCTGCGATGGGAGCAGAACGCAAGCAACACTTTCTGCGTCAGGCAAACCTAGGCATTTCCCAGTCCCCAGAGTAGATCCTAGTAACAAAATAACTAAATCCTACCCCAGGCATCCAAATAAAAGGTTAAAGAGCGGTACGGTACGGAACGGTATTTTCTCCAGTGACCTCTGAACTCAGCCAGAAAGTCTGAATTTGTGCTGAATGACCACAAAGCCAACCTGGACTTGAGTTCCCTAGACTCCCTGCTCCAGATGCAAGCAGCTGGTTTGGCAGCCACGCTCACCCAGGAGACGCAGGTTCATTCTCTGTATAACCGGTCACTTCAGCTGGGTTCCGAGAGTGGGAGACACTGGGAGTGTGGCAGGATCGACCTGGTGACTTAGGAGGGCTGGCCTGCACAGTGGCTCCACTCAGGAGACCCGGTCCGTCCTGCTCCGAGGTACAGCCCACGGCCATGGGTGATTCTTAGAGATGGCACTTATGAAGCGGGACTGTCCCCGCAGCTCCATGCAGGTGCGCATGCTCTCGTGTGCTGGCAGCATGAGTGTGTGAGACTCGCATTTACAAATGAGTCTGGCAGCTTCCCTAGACTTCCTTCTGTAAACAGCTTTGTAAATTGCTTTCATCTGTGTAGACCCAGGAAGTCTGACCATCTCCAGCGCACGTGGTTATAATTAAGATGTCTTACACAGCTCGTGGTGGGCTGACAGGCTGTGTGACCAGGCTCAAAGGGCTCCCTGGCTCTTAACACCACTGCTGACACTGCTTCATGCTTGTCGTCCCCCCCCCACATTCTTAGCAGCCAGCTCTGAGGGAGGGGCTCAGATTTGCCAGTTCAGGGTGGCAGTTAGCACCTGACTGGAGAGAATCAGTGAATCAGTGGGTCTTCCTGTGTTTGGGGCCCATGTCTTATATCCAGGTGCATCAAGGGAACCTTTGCCTCTGTAGTGTTCCCATGAGGTTATGGGGTCTCACGGGGACAAAGGTAGATGCTGAACCGTCCCGTCTTCAGGTACAAGTCCAAGCTGACCTTTACCTGGTGAGCACAGATGTGTCAATTATGGGGCCTAAAGCCCACTAAAGACAGATCAAGTGGCCAAGAGACAACAAAGCGTACCAGAACATGGAGGCAAAGGTATCACCTTGCTGGCTCTAGCCCTCGATTCCCTCTGCTAGCTGGCTGACACTGGGCAAATGACTCTGCTTCTCTGATCTTTTGACTCACGTATAAAAGAAGAGTGTACTCAGGGTCGGCTCCAAGTCCAAGATGGAAATCGGGTGCTCGGACCTCTGTCGGAGGCAGGCGCTCAGCCAACTGAGTTTCCAAAAAGCAGTCAAATCAACTCCCGTATAAACCACCCGAGGCCTGGCTGGATGGCTTATGACTGGACAACACAGAACCCGCACTGTGAAGGGCAAGTGACATCCCACAGGCCACACAGGCTCTTGCCTGACTCTGGTCTTTTCCTTTTCCCAGGGAGGAAGAGACAGCCGCTCCGGATCTCCCATGGCGAGACGCTGAAAGCCCTGCCTGCTCAGCCTTCCTGAATCCTGCCCTCGGCTTCTTAATATAACTGCCTTAAACGTTTAATTCTATCTGCACCAATTAGCTAGTTAGAGCAGCCCCACTCCTAATTCCGTGGAGCCACGCACGTGGTGGGGCCAGACCCACGGTACCCTGGCTCGTTAAAACTGTCCCTTTTCATTTGAAGATTGAGTGTCCTCGGGGGTCTTCCCTGCCTTGTCCCTCCCACCCCCCCTCCGTGTACTTTGGTCGACTCCGGAGGTCCAAGTGCACGGAAATCCTTCCAAGTTCACCTTTACTCCATCCTCAGACTTTCTTTTCACGGTGAGGCGCACCCCTCCATCTTCCGTGGGCACTGCGGATAGACAGGCACACCGCCAAGGAGCCAGAGAGCGTGGCGCAGGGGACTGTGTGGTCCAGGCTTCTTTTGTTTTCTTTCCTCTAAAGAGCTTTGTTCTTCCTAACAGGATCAGACAGTCTTGGAGTGGCTTATACACCGGGGGCTTGTGGTATGTGAGCGCAGGCTGGGCAGCAGTGAGATTCCAGAGTGGGGTGACCCTGGGGACGCTTCCAGGCCAGCTGTTCCCTCCACCCCACCAGCTGATTTCGAGCGTGGCAGAGGGAAGGAAAGGGGCGAGCGGGCTGGGCAATGGCCCCAACAGGAAATGGGGACTTAGGGAAACACGCTGGAGATGTCATGTGTGGCCGCCGAACGTCACCATCTCTCCTCAGTGGCCCCTCAGGGCAGGTGCTTTTAAGAACCCCATTTCCTCTCAGAGCCCAGGGAGAGTCCAGGGACATGGCGCATCTCGCAGTGGGAATGCAGGAGTTCTCTGGTGGCCTCGCGGTGTCCCTCTGGCCACCACTCACACCGGGATGGCCAGCAGTAGCTCGCCACGGCAGTGCCCATCGGTACACACTAACCTCAGAGAAAAAGTAACCTTCCCCTGCCTCCTAGAAACCGCTCATTCATAGCTGATTTAGGAATGTGTTTGTCACTGAGTCCCTACCCTGGATGCAGGCTGGCCTGGGCAACCCTTCAGGGATGCGGAGCTCAGAATCCCACTTCCCTAATGTCCATGGACACCTCCCCATTCCTCTAACATACTGACTATGTCTTTTGATTTAGCGTGTCTTTTATAGACTTTCCAAAGAGCCCCACACTGGCCCCTTCATCCTTAGAAGGAAGGTGTTGGTTGATGTAGACCAACGCGTGTCTTGTTAATCTGTTCTAATTCTGAGTATAGTGTGGGTTTAAGATAACATCTATTAATACATAGCCTCAATAGCCTGAGGGTAAGAGAAAAAGCAGGGAAGAAAATTCCAGAAGTAAACCCTCCAGATCGTTCCACAGGAGCACTTGCCCTCCAACATGACCGGACGCCTTTGCTCATGGCTTCATCCAGACAGCACATGCTGCAGAATGGCTGGATGGGAGCACCCACTGTTCTTGAATATTGAAATAAAATAATAAACTTGCAATGGTCTTTGCACAGATATCTCACTTTGCTTTCTGGCTTGTAGACACGGGCCCATGTAGAGCACAGTCTCATCACAGGACAGAGTAGTGCCCTTCAGTCAGGAGCATAGGGTTGCCTCACACTGACCTTAGGGGAACATCTCAAGGGTCATGTTGAGGAGGCCTTGCATTAAAAAACCAAGTGGATGGAGTAGAGGTGACATGGGACAGTGATCCACGGCACACAAGGAAAAGAACTTCCAGTCACTTTGGGGACCATTTCCAAAGTTACTGCGCCAGGAAACACCCTGAAGATGAGTAGGTCACTCACATCATCCCTGAGAGATATGACACTAAGTTTTGATTCATCCTTCCCATCCTCCTCTCTTCTCTTTCTCTCCATCCCCTTTTTGGTTTTTGTTCGTTTTTTTTCTTGCAGTTGCTTTTGGTTGCAAGACTTCTTTTTCTGAAGGATCGCCCCAAGTCCCATTTCATGTTGCTTTTGAAAGAGCTACTGACTCATTTCTGAGCTTTCCAAGATAGGCTCTGAATTGCCATCACATCTGTGAGCTGTAGGAAGGAAAGCTTGCTGTGGGTCAAGAAGAACACTGCAGTCTGTTTCTTGCACGCATGCTGCTCCAGCACAAGGACCCAAGTACAGGGAAGTTGGAGATGATGAACGCAGCACTCAAAGTTCAGGCCCCTGGGCTCTGCAATCAAGAGTCTGCTGACTCAAACCCTTACGTCCAGGTCTGGCATAGGAGCTCACGTTTATAATCCTGGCACTTGAAAGGTGGAGGCAGAAGGATTGTAATGGGTTTGAAGCCAGCCAAGGTTGCACAGAAAGTTCTAAGCTAGGGTAAGATGCTGTCTCAAACACCAAGGGCTGGACAGTGGGTTCGCGGTTAAGTGCACTTGCAGTACTACTTCTACCAAAACCAAGCCTACCGATCCAGTAGGGATGGGACCAATTGCTCTCATGGGAAGGGCTTGAACACCCATTTGTGGTATTAAAACCACTTGGATGGTGGTACAGAAGTTCAATCCTGCGCTCCCTTTGGTTTCCAGGACCAGCTTGTCAATGGTACCCTTTTCTGAGGAATAAAGTCATGGAAGAAGTCTCTAGTGCCCCATAAACTTGCTGTGGGGCTTGAGGTGGGCCCCTCCTCCCGTTTCCCAACCGACCAGAGAGCAGATGACCATCAGTGTCCGTCTTAGACAAACATTCATTAGACCAATGATGTCCTTTCCTGCAACAGGGGTACAAGTCAGGCTGCTTCCTACCTGAGGCTCCATCTGGTTGTCATGGGTTACCTGAAGATAGTAGTCCAGGGTGGTTGGAACATTGTTTTTTTTTTTTTTTAAATGCCCAGCTTGTCCACAGTTAAAGCAGGGCCTGGGCTGCGCCCCAAGACCGTGATGCTGCAGAGCCATAACGGCCATCACAGCCCCAGTGAGATGGGCTTGGTCAATGTCTTTACACAGTCTGATGTAATCATTCAGCCCTCCTCTTTGCTGGCAAGGACGAATAACCTCCTGACAACACTTGTTGGCACTCTCATAAGCTAGTTGTTTGATAACTGGCATGGTGGCATCAACATCAGGGAAAATCCTCCTGCTAACTGTGAGCGCGGATTCACAGAATCTGAATAAGGCTCAGACGGCCCCTGCAGCACCTTAGGTAACTGACCCCCAGCAGCCTTGATAGGCAAGGCTTTCCAGGCTCTTAAGGCAGCAGCAATCTGAGCATACACCCCTGGGTCATACCTGACTTGCTGATTAAGCGGAGTGTCCAGTCCAGCGCTGGTGAGCATGTCCACACTTCTATTTGGGTGCCCTTCAGTAGCATTCATTCTGGCCATCTCCACACAATTTTCTTGCTAATCAGACCTCCAAATCAAATAATCCCCTCCACTAAGTACCGGCCTACAAAGCTGCAACCAATCACTAGGAGTCAAATTTTGATCAATGTAGGATTCCACCAAGGCAGCGGTAAAGGGAGCATGCGGCCCACAAGCGGTTACGGCCTCTTTAAGCTGACTTACATCCTTAAACTGAAACTTCTGATGTAGCCTCTGCCTATCCCCTGAGGATTCACAGTTTCAATAACAGGGAACGCCTGGATATTTCTGAACTTAAGTTCTGCCAATTGTCTCCGTAACTCTTCTACCTCCCTCTCACTAGCCGGAGAGGAAGCTGCTTTGTCTTTCTCCTGAGGAGAGGCAAGAGAACAGATCCAATCCCGAGAGATGACTCGGAATCACTACTATCTGAGATCCGAGCCTCCTCAGCCTCCTTCAGCTCTTCCCCCTCTGGATCTCCTGTGCATGACGCCAGGGATTCTGTCTTGGACATCCTCCAGTATCTTAATGCTTCCTTAAAAAGTTCCTTGACGCTACAATTTTCAGCAAGCATAGACTCTTTAACCAGCCTCTATAGGGAAAACATGGTAATGGGAAAAGACTCCGGTCCTTTTTCCCTCAGTTCCTTTTGTAGGTCTTCCTTAACATGTTCCCAGTCCGGAATGTTCAAGGTGCCTGCCTGTAGAAACCATGACTAACCCTACCTAGGGTTTCCACGAATTCTTCCACTGTTTTTCTTCTAATCCCGGTACCCATCCTTATAATTTACCCTCTCACCTTCTCTTTGTTACTTACCTGCTTGCCAGTCTTCTGGAGGGTATTCCTCAGAGGTGTCTCTAGTTCCCAATCCCAACAGGGCCTCCACCTGTGGCGCTTGCACCACCTGAAACCATGGTCGGGCAAGTGTCTGAAGATTAAAGAACACACAGAGACGTAGGTCACTCTTGGAGCAAGAATGCCAATTTTATTATGTTCCCAGACAGCTTATCTAGTGCTCTCCTTGACTAATGGCCAAGCCCTAGCTCTGGGGATTTTCCACTGCAAGCCCACCAGAAACCACTTCCTTGTTATCAGGAACTCATGAGGGTTCTGTGCTCAGAGCACTGCAAGCATAGAAAACAAGTTGTTTACTCCAGCAGGCGAGAGGTCATAGAGAGTTCAGGTCTGAGGGTCTGCAGCTTCCAACAAGGTGGGAAATACAGACAGAGATATATAAAGAGCAGGCAGAGTCAGACAGATGCCGTGTCGCTGCCAAAGCAGGAGGATGCTAGAACCTTACTGGTAAAGCACCAGCCTCGTGATAAAATATAAAATAATAGAAATGGGTTAATTTAAGATGTAAGAGCTAGCTAGAAGTATGCCTGAGCCATCAGCCAAACAGTGTTGTAATTAATATAGTTTCTGCATGATTATTCAGGTCTGGGCAGCTGGAAACCAACAAGCAGTCTTGGTTTACAAATTTAAGAACTCATCACTGATACTAATAATTATTTGAATGGTTCTTGACACCTGCCCAGTCCCGGCTCCCTCATCCCTGTCTCATGAATACAGCAACAGTGAGAGTCAAGGCTTTAAGGAATGGATGAGGACGACACCTGACAGCCATAAAGGGTGCATCGGTTTCTGTTTTTTGTTTGTTTGGTTTTTTTACACAAGTATTTCTATTCTCCTCAACCCCACACATGGCCAGATACAATAACTAAACTCCAAGACCCTGTAGTATCATCTTGCTGTCAGGATTTTCTCTGTTGTAGACATTGAACGGCCACTGGTATTCTAAATGAAGGGACAGTAAGGTAGGGTGGACCAAACAGTATGTGCAGTCAAGGATACATGGCTTCTCAGATGTAGAGTTTCCTCCAGGGCAAGCACGGGGCAGCTTGTACAACCAAAGAGAGCTCAGAAGGCTTTGTGTGCTGTTAGGTCCCCGTGAGGCAGGGAGGTCCCCTCCTCTCCTAGCCCTTCTCCACTGGACTCTCCACCAGTGCCAACTATAGATGGACTTTCTCTGTGTCCCGGCAGCAGCTCCCAAATAACCACACTGAGACTTATAGCTTTGCCTACAATGAGCTAACTATCAGACAAACCTCTGGAACTCGGTTCAGGACCTAAAGTGTCTGAAGAACTTTCAGAGCTCCAAGTAGCTCCCATCAGAGTTGTTCAGCACTGGTTCCTTCCTTCTACTTTCTGTTGTCAGTGCCAATGAGGGCAGGAACACGGATGCCACGTATCCGCACCTGTTTTCTAACAAGCTCTTTCCTGGCAGAAGTTTGCTGTCCTTTTGGCCAATGTTCCTGCCACCAGCCTTGGACATGAGCCCTTCCTATCTTCTTGGGGACACTTTCAACTGTAACTCACCAAACAAAGGTGTGACAAGGTAAAGGCCACGTAAAAAGCAGTGGGACCCTGAAGATTCATTGGCGAGTATGGTTATTAAAAGGGTAACCCTTTCCTACCTTTCCCAGATATGGCTGTAGGAGGAGGGCTTGGACCAGGGTGGTGACCCAGGCTAGTGGCTGGGGATAGCTGGAGGGACTGCAGGCGGCAGGTTGGCCAGATGCTTCGACAGAGAGGAAGGAGATATGGAAAGTGCAGAGGTTAAGGGAGCTGTGTGGTGCTAGCTAGAATTGGGGTGCCTGGATGGTGCATAGTTACACTAAAATGGTAAATGGGGAGGTGTAGACAAGAGGAAGGTGGGTCGTGAGTGCATGCGCACACGGACAAACACACCAATCTCCCCCATCTCTGCGGGCCTTGGACATCAGTGAGCAGACCAGTCAGTCCTTGTTCCTAAACGCCTGTCTTCTAGGAGCAGTGGCTGAGCCCAGGGCTGGGGAGGCTCGGCTGACCCAAACCACGTTTGCTGGGCCCCAAACAGGCATTCTTAACTTGTTACTTAAGCAGGAGTTAAGAGCTATAGGCTCTATGCAGCCTGGAGAGTGAGAGACAAGCACCGCCATATGCACTCAAGGGCCAGCCCTCATACCGCAGCTCTCAATCGCTTTCATTCCGCCTACGTCACATTTCAACACACGTTTACATGACAGGGCAACCAGTGTCCCCAGAAGGAGGTCTGGTCAGCTTCGCGCCCTAGAACATACTGGGCATGTGGTTATCACTCACCCCAGGCCACAAGAAGTAAATACACAGGAATTTTAAAATAATACAAAAACTATTGTTTTATTGTTTTTAAAAGCCAGCGCAGTGGCTTTTGGCATAGCTATCCATTTCTAATACAAAACTGGATTAAATAAATATCATCCAATGTATAAATAGACCATGAGACAAATCTGAAGATAAAAAGAGAACTTTTCTGTAAATTAAAAAATTAACTTTCAATTTTCTCAGTGGTGGCTGAAGAACAATCACTATGGCATTTTAGCGCTTGTCAAATATACAAATCTTGATTCTCAATACAAAAGTCTTCATGCCGTAAGCATCACACATAGAAAAGATTAAATAGCACGATGTCTTTGATTGCTGTCTGTAGCCCCTGACACACTAACAAACCTATACCACGAAGTTCATACAGAACATGAGCACAGCGCCTGGGCAGGAGGGTGTGAAATGGAACACGTGTTCACCTAACCGTGAGGGGGCCTGGGATGCGGGCAGCCAGAGGCAACCATCACACTGCCAGGGTGTGTGCTGCAGGCATCCAGCTCCCCGTGGATTTTATAGCTCGAATTTTTAGATAGCAAAGAGGGCAAAGAGTCCTCTTTTAGACAGCAAGCAACCAGATTTCAAGTTGTTTCACTAGGATAAAGTAAAACACAAAACAAACAGAACGGACACTGAACTGGGCGATTGTGGGTAGCTATTTTTTGAAATTTTACTTTTCTTAGCTTTTGGTTTTGTTTTGTGAGACAGGGTCTCCGGTAGCCCAGGCTGACCTAGAACTTGCTATGTAACAGAGACTGACTGAGGTTCTAATCTTCTTGTCTCTGTTTCCCAAGAATTCGCAACCATAGCTCACTTGAGACTTTCCTTTAATTACATCCATGTTGTCCACATCACTTGAACATAATTCACGGGCAGAAAGGAAATGGACTGTGGACCAATGTCACCATGGACAAGGTTCATGAGACAGCAGCACCAGGCCCTGGGGTCACTCAAAGTGCGGGGCTGGGGGAAGAGCAAAGTATAGATTTTTGAAATGGGCTGTGGAGGAAGCCCTTATACAAGGAGTCATGAGATATCCGGACACAACCCGAGAACAGGCCTACAGATACGCACTTCATTATCCAGCGCTCCTTGCATACATGTGTGTGGGGCCATTTAAATTGGAACATGAGGCTTAGTGTCTCTCCAAAGACAGAGCGCACAGGAAGAACCAAGTCTACCCTCTAAAATCTGGATGGCACGGATGTGCTCATGAGAACTCGGAGGAACTTAAAAACGGTGTGGAGGGTATACAAACAAATGCACGCTTTCTGGTGCACGCTGCTCACCTCCCTGCTGCCCCAGAGCACTGACAAGGACCCCAGGAGGGCTTGCTGGGGGTGAGAAGCATTTCTGCTCACATTGCATGTCCACTTTGACCTATAACCTTCTGAAGGATGTGTCCATGCCGGGTCATCCTGTTCCCTTGGCCTCCTCAGCTGTACTCGTGATTAGCAGCATCATGCCTTCAGGGATAGGCTTGGCTGTTCTTCTGCCAACCTGGAGCCTCCTCCAGGGACCAACAGGCTCCTGTACTGAAGGAGTAAGTGGCACCCGCAGGGCTGCGCCGGACACAGGACTTTCTGTTAAGGGTCATATCCAAGCTGTCGACGTGCTTCAGGGAGAACCAAGAGGAAATGCATTCTCTGGACTTCACACAGGTAAAAGAAATCTCATTACAGTTTTCTTTTCTGCTAAAAATACCTGAAATTTATTCCCCACCCACCTAGTGATTCTGAAACATGATTTAAAAACAAAACAAAACACATATATCACATTTCCTAATGTCATTTTGCATTTAGTTATCTCAAAACAGATATGTTATATAGAGAGTTCTAAAAATACAGTTCTCTGTCCTCCAAACCCTGGTTATACATGAGGAATAACTTTCCTATAACAATATTCCAAACATTAAAATACAGAGATCAACCTGTAAACCAAAATATTCAAGTGAGTTATCTTCTCAAAACCTTGTATTTTCAAGGAATGTTGGCAAAGAAGCAGCGTTGACGGTAAGGAAGGAAATCAAAACACACACAAGCCATGTTTGTTTGCTGGTAAACTGAGAAAATACAAAAAGTAATTGACTCCTGGTAGATTTTCTTTTCTTTAACCAAAAGCAGGCTTCAGATTCACCCGGTAAAGTCTTACTTATACAAGCAATTGATGGCCACAGTCGGCGCTCGCATTCACTACACAACCAGGAAGTAGCCAACCTCTTTACAGATGTCCTGAGATGACATTTAATGCTGAAAGGAAAATAAATAACCCAGCAAGAACAAAAATTTTAAATCCAATAATTTCAATTTGGGGGATATCTGTTCACTAAAATTAATATTTCTAAAATACTTTAATAAAAAAATGAAAGAAAAAGTGCATTAGTAGCAGAGACTTTAGAACTCTCGTGATTACAATTACTCTGGAAACACGACCTCAGCCGGTGTACACACTGACATTCAGGGAGCCTTGGGGCTTTAAGTCCAGTATCACAAGAAGTCAAGTAAGGCTTTTTTCTTCTTAAAAAAATATACAATACACAAATCAGTTTGGAAAAAAAAGTAATAATATTTAACAGTTCTCTGACTTAAATATTTTCACATAACAAAAGTTTTTATGTCACTGTCAATATTACTTATATACAGATGACAAAATGAACAAAATCAAAAGATGCCCTTTTAAAATAACAGTGAAATGTCTCTCTCCAGGACTTTTAGTGAACAAGTCCACACAATATTTATAATAAAACTGCTCTCTTCGGAAACCAATGAGGCAATGAGAGAAAATAAAGGCAACTTTTTTTTTTCAGAAAAAAAAATAGAGCCCAGCTTTATGTTACAATGAAGAAGATATCCATTTATTAACAGAATGAACACGACACCGGTCTGAAGTGCACCAGGGAGTGGCCTCCGATGCGCTCTGCGATGTGGACTAGTGCTTCTATTTACAAAATAGACTTCTCAGCCACATGGAGGCCCATATATCTGTCTATGTACACAGGTATTCACATATAGAACATATAAATAGTTTCCAGGGAGTTGATATGAGGTGGGGGACCTACTGTCTTTGGAATGCTGAGGCGCACTGCTCAGCCAGCGCAGGAGGGTTTGGTTTGGGATGTGTCTCGTGTGGCACTGCTGACGACACTGGAGGATTCCCTGAAATGAAAACACACCTCCGGTATGCATGAGGAGGAAAGTCGCAGGATTTTTGTAAGTCCTTAGCCTTAAAATACAGATAAATATACTGAGGTGGAGAGGAACAGCTTCCTGTCTCCTAAGAGACAACTCTGTCACTTCCTGCTCACAGGGTATGGCTTGTGCTTCTGCAGTGATCAAATACATGTGACTGGACAGACTCATGCAGCAAGCGTGTGGACATCCATGTGAACAGCTGGTCCTCGCCTGCGGGTCAGGTTTTCTCCGTGGCCCTGCTATTGCCAGATCTGTGTTCTTCTAACTAGGGATCAAGTGTCTGTGACGGAGAGAACGGGCCCAGCCGTCTCTCAAGGCATCAGTTACACTAATGGAAGAGTTGGCTAAAAACAACTGACTGTTACTAATTAGCAAAACGCAGAGTAAAAAGTGGAAAAACGTCCGTGTGTAATGGCACCGCTTCTGAATTTCATGCAATATCATACGTGCGATTTTCCATACTGTCTTTTGCTAGCACAAATCTCACTGCAATGATATTCAGATCCAGGTCACCTGCTAAGGACATACACAGCCATGAGAAGGCGAAAGAGACCGTGGCAGTGCCCAGGTTCTGTGATTTGTAGACAATGGAAACAGTGCAGTTGTATATTTCCCAGTTTTTTCCTGTCAGTCTTTGAATGGCAATGATTCTTCAAATAATTTAACTAAAAAAAAAAAAAAATTATAGATTTTTAACACTTGAAGTTTTAAAACAGAAACTCTGCGTGATCTAATCTTCAAAAATGTAACTTCATGGATGCTCTTAGCCTTCTTCCATAGCATCAGAACACATTGGTTAGGGTCTGCCACTCGCCCGCTGCCTCCTGCACCACTTCCTCTAAGTGAAGGGTCCTTAGCTCTTCCCCGTCCTGTTCCTGGACCACAGCGGTTGCCTGCAAGGTTCCTACAGAAACAAAGAAAAAGCCTCAGATCTCAGAAGCAGGCCAGCATGCACAATTAGACAAGAGATTATGGGAACCAGCGGAAAGAAATCTCTAGCTTGTTTTGCTTCTCATCTCAGTGAAATGAAATAGTCTGGGCCAGGGAAACCATTTTTCAACTTGTAATTCTGGGGTTGGAACCCTAGTCCGCATGCGTGTAAGCAAGTGCTGAACTATAGGTAAAATTTGTTAGTCACAGCCTCTGCGATGTGGGCACTCACATCCTGGGGGCTATGCCAATACAGAATCAGTGACAAGCAACTAATAACACTCACAACACAGACAACTTCTTTAACAACATGCAGAAATTGCTGGCAACAGTGACCTTCCCTCCACATAGTACCCAGTTCTACCCCTTGGGTGCCCCAGATGTGTCTAAACAAACCCAGTGATCACATGAAGGTCATCTATGTTCACTAACAAAACCTATCATCCTACAACTAAATGAACTTTAAATACAAGTTGTAAAACTCACTGCCCACCCCTGTCTTTAATATTTCATTCTCCTGCTTTCCAGGACCTAAATGATTTAGTCTGTTAAATAAAAATGCTCCTGCCATGCTACTATGGTCTGGACCTCAAGCAGGACAGGCAGCCATCCATGCCCTAGGGCCTAGTTCCCACGGCATCAACACTTGCAAACCACAGAGAAGGCATGGCTTGTGTGGCCTGGACTAAGGAGACAGAATGGAGGCAGTGGTGCTCAAAACAGTGCAGGCCCTGTCCGCCTCCATGCAGACTCCAGGCTGGTGCTGCCTCCTGACACTAAAGCGGTCTCTGACCAGCACATTCCAGAAAGGGGGACTATGAAAACAGACAGCCATGCTGCTCACACTGCTCGGCACTGATTTCCCTTTAGAAAGCACTGTCTGAAGATGGGTGTGGTGGTAAGAGACTAAAATCCCAGTACTCAGGAGGCTAAGAAGAAAGATTAAAGAGTTTGAGGCTAACCTGAGTTATATAGTTGAGCTCTGTTTCAGGAGAAAGAAGAGAAGCAGGGAGAAAGAGAAGGAATAACAAAGAAGAGGGAAAGAGGAAGGGAGGGCAAGGGGATGGGGAAGCAGACACAGCATAGGCTTTCCACCATGCTCAGCCTCTTCCCAGCTCCCTGATCAGGGCCTCTTCTATAAACTGCAGTCTTTGCAGTAGCTATGGCGCATGGCCACTGTAAAACGTGTGAAAGTAACATGGGAAACACCCAGTGACTTAGCCTTCTTACCCACAAAGCTGTGCGCTCGCTTCATGTGCAGTTTCATATTGCTCTTCTGTGTGAAGCCCATTACACAGTAGTCACACCGGTAGGGCCGCTCGCCAGTGTGCTTCTTCATGTGCACCTGCAGCGCGCTCTTCTGGTTGAAGGCCTTCTCACAGAGAGTGCAGTGGAACGGCCGCTCCCCTGTGCGCAAAAGGTGAGGTGTAGTCAGTGTCATTCTCAAGACTGCGTATTTTAGTGTAACACATGTTGTCCCTCAGTCCAGACTGTTTAATGCTGAGAATGACTCAGTGACAAACCTCCTGCAACCATCACCAGAGTGCTGATTAGTAGGATGCTGACAAAGACACTCCACATTGAGACAAAAACGAAACCTATTCAGTGAGTACCCAGATCATAGAAACACGCAGAGATAGACCACACGATTTAAACAAAATGTTCTAATACATTTTATGTGGTCCAAGAGAAAGACATCTGAACATTAGAACACCAATGCTATTTAAAGGATGCGTTTCTAGAATCTATAAAATGCTACTACTAGTGGCATCCAGATGAACGGAGAAGCTGAGGGAGCTGCCAAGCCCGACATTCACTAGGAGCTGCACGGATGAATGCGAAGACCTCAGTGTCTCCCTTCATAAGCATGGTGGTCCTGCTTCCTGGGAACAATCCAACCACTGAACCATTTTGGAGGCCTGGGGGTGGGGTATGGCCTCTCCCCTTTGCTTACAAGTTCTTCCCATCTGCTCTGTGTAGAAGCCTCTTGCTGCAGTATCAGGACCCTTTCCCAGAAGGCCTCCCAGACTATCCCTGAACAGCAGGGATCCATGACGGTCCTGGCTGTATTCTGAGCTGGTCCTGTTTCTTTTCCCTTGTGACCATGCACAGTAAATGAGGCATTATCTCAGTCTCCTAAGTGAACCCCAAAACTGAAAAGTTTTTGCCCATTCTCCTGACTGAGTGCAGTGATTCTGAGCTCTTCACCAGCTGCCTGGCTAATTGCAAACCTCTTAAAGCAGTTGTCTAGTTGGGAATAATCCACACTCACAGAAGCTAGGTTTGGCCAACCTCTTAGAAAAGTCAGCATGCCCAAACCAAGGGCTGAGAGCTAAGTTTACCCTGAAACACTAAGCAAAGGGAAGAGCTCTTGAGAGCTAGGACGTTAGCAATGACCTACTGGAAGCTGTTGCATCTGCCATGGGATAAAAGGTGACAACACACTTTCCACACTTGCATGGGTTAAGATTTCAGCCTATCTGTCAGGACTTAGAACACAGTCAAAATGTTCCTGCCCTCGGGAATTAAGAGCAGCCACAGGGAGAGGCAGTTCTTGCACGGAGCACGGGCCTGACTGCAGTGCAGTGGAGCAGACAGAGGCTTTGGAAGCACACAGCACAGGGGGACCATCTCACTGGCTCTACTTCACAATGACATCCTTTCCACGACATGTGTGCTAAGGGCTCAAGTCCCTCTCAGTCAAGCCACTAAGTCTCCCCACAATGAAAATGTGATATAATTATGTGCCATCAAAGCATATTAGAGGGCATGAGGCAGCCACCAGCAAGTTCAAGGTTTTCCTGGCAAAAAAAAAAATCTTTAAAATGTTTAAAGTTCAATCCACCACCCATAGCTATAGAGGATACAGTACTATTAGCACAGTGCCTCACTACAGAGGAAAAACTCAGAAATATAATTTTCACTGGGCAGTGGTGGTACTTGCCCTTAATCCTAGCACTCAGGAAGCAGAAGAGGAGGATCTCTGAGTTCTGAGTTCAAAGCCAGCCTGGTCTACATAGTGAGTTTCAGGACAGTCAGGACGATTACACAGAGAAACCCTGTCTTGAAAAAGAAAAAAGAAAAAAAAAACCATTATCAAATGGAAGCATTTTATCAATTATGTGTACATATCTATGCATTTGTATGTGGCCGGGTACACAAGCTTGAGGGGAGTCAGGACAACCTCCAGTGTCATTCCTCAGGAGCTGTCTATTTTGTTTTTCTGTTTGTTTTTTGGGACAGAGTAATCCTGTTGGCTTGGAACTTACTATGTAGACCAGGCTGGTCTCGAACTTAGACAGATCTGCCTGCCTCTGCCTACCAGTACTAGATTAAAGGTGTGCTTCTTCGATGCTTTTTGAGAAAGAGTCTCTTCCTGTCTGGAACTAGACAGGCGACTAGGCTGGCTGGACAGTGAGCCACAGTATTCTCCAGTCTGCCTCCCCAGCAAGGAAATTACAAACATACTACCAGGCCAGGAGAGCTTGTTTCTGGACTGGTCTTCCTCTGAAGAGGCTCAAGCAGATGTAGACAGTATATACAGCAGAGTGCAGAGTCAGCAGGAAGCACAGAGATCAAAGCAATCGCCCTAGAGGGCTGGAGAGGAGCCCCCCCACCCCCGGTCTTCCTAACCAGTGGAGGGAAGGGGCTTTTTCATGGAATCACTCCTACTCCCCAGGGTCACAATGAGAAATGCCAATCTCAAGCGAAAAAGTTAAGATGGTAAGGTGATTAAAAATTAGGGCAAAGTGGAACACACGGACCTTGTTTGTAAATAATGTCTCACACCCCACAGATGTTTCTATGCTTCACTCCTGCTCACCCACGACTCTATGCAGCCAACAACAGCACATCACGTGGCACTACCTGTGTGAATGCGGCTGTGCCGCTCCAGCTGGCTTGGTTTGGCAAACGCCTTCTCGCAGGTGTCACACTTGAATACTCTGGGCTTCTGAGAGCTGAGCGAAGGACCAGCCTGGTGTGTCAGCATGTGCTCCTGGCAGAACACACAGAAACCAGCACATGTTAGGCCCTACTGGAACCTGAGAGATCTGAAACAACAACAGAAAGGAATCTCCATGCAAACCCAATAGCCTCTGAGGCCAACCCCATGACCTCTGACTGGGATTTCAGGACTGGAGTCTATCACAGTAGCATGGGGGTGAGGAGCCACAGCCTCGGCAGCTCCAAGTCCACACAAGGGACAATATCTCCCTCCTCAGGCTGCAGTGACAGCTCAGGGAGACTGTGACCTTCACACAGTGTACCCCAGTGAAGAGCCTGCTGAACCTCTGTTCCCACATTCCATAAGTTCACCTGGAAGTCAAGGCCCACAGGCAGCTGACAGAGGTTTAGCCTAAAAGTCTCTCAGCAACTCTCCCAGAACACCTGTGGCTCTGGGCACACTCTACCAATTACAGAACGACACTATGCGGTGCATCCCACATCTCTGACAGCATCAGGTAACTGTACTTTGTATGGGTGTGACTCAACCTGCCAGTGACTTTACATCTGTGTGATCTGACTTTCTCAGAAATATGACAGCCACTGTGCTCTGTGCCCGAGGCTGGCAATGAGGCTACTTTCAAAGTTTTATAAAGTGCACAATTACCCTGCTAGAGGGAGGGAAGAGTCTTTAAAGTACCCTGTGCCCTAAAGCAGGATTCAGAGAGAAAGAACACTGCAGCTGCACCACAGGTTCATGACGAACACCACTCCACCCAGACAGCCTGAGGTGGGTCACAGGACAAACAGAAAATGAAGAGTTTAGGACAGGCTGCAGAGCACAAGACTCCAGCAGTAACTCTGCCACTGTGCTGTGCTTACTCTCAATACCGCTGGAACTGATACTTCCCTCCTTCATTAGAGGCACATTTTGTGTACACCTGTGTGAACACCATGCCTTCAGAGGATGAAGTCATCTATTTCTGCAACTGTTTCTTTTACAAACCCCAGGCACTTGATGCTCAGGAGGCAGAGGGATCCAGGAGAGCAGATAATCCACTATTTGGGAAGGACCATGTTGTAATTCTATAACCCATTTCCAGAGGGCAGCTGCTGCAGCATTAGGGTGCACACAGTATCAGAGCTGCTATTTGAAGCTGGTGCAGGGACAGCCGTTCTCTCATCACACGCGCAGGAGGACCAGTCAAGGGCAGCGCTGATGCTCTCACCAAGAAGCTGGCATGCTTTCCGCTGGGAGCTCCTGCATATGTGCTGGGGTGTGTAGCAGACAGACAGGTGGACAGAACAGACTGGGGGCGGGGTGTCATGGCCCTTGGGAGGCATGTATAAGGAACAGAGTCAGGAAATGACAGCAGTGCTCTCACTGTCCACTCCTAACCCTCCCTATTACAGAGTTCTTAATTACTACCATCAAATACCCTATGCCAAGGGTGACTTGTTTAGTGGGACACAGAAAGGGCTACCCAGCACCCCCTGTGCCCTATCTGGGGATGGCTGCTGTCTCTTTCTCTCCTCTTTTTTCTTTTCTTTTCTTTTCTTTTCTGTCTTTCTTTCTTTTTTTCTTTCTTTTTTTAGTTTTTCGAGACAGGATTTCTCTGTAGTTTTGAAGCCTATCCTGGCACTAGCTCTGTAGACCAGGCTGGCCTCAAACTCACAGAGATCCACCTGTCTCTGCCTCCCGAGTGCTTGGATTAAAGACGTGTGCCACCACCACCTGGCAGCTGCTGTCTCTTGATAACATCTTTTACGGCCTCAGATATGGCCCACATGCTTTCCTGGAGCTTCCGTGGTAAAGGGCAGAGGTTTAGAGGGCAGCAGCAGCAGGAGATGAGAATGGGGTGAGGACAAGCATCCCCAGGAAGGTGAGGTCTAGGGAGGAGATGGAAGTGGTGTGTGAGCCCTTGTGTTAGGTAAATGGGCTTGGGGCAGCTCACATCTCAGCCTCAAAGCACAGGAACACGGACAGACAAGAGATCCCTCCGGGTGATGACCGTGAAGGACTGGCTGTGTGTGGGCTGGGAGGAGACCTCCTGCCACCACAGGGACCTCAGAGTGAACCCTGCCAAACCCTGCCAGGGACTCTCAAAAAAGCAGATTAGAGTTTTTAAGTGTGCATCTATCCTCTCTAATCTGGTTCCTCTCCTTTCCTCATATCAAGGCATCCTACTTGGTCTGTAGTCACGGGAGAGGATTGCAAGCACCCTGTCTTCTTTCATCTCCAAGCCTTCACATTTGTAAACATCGGTTAGTGCAGCTTGGACTTACATGAAAAGAAGGAAGCATATCCCAGGCCTACAGAGTAAAGGCTAGAGAACACACACAGCAAAGATGGAGGAACTGGCTCATCTAAAGTGAGCCAGCTCCCCATGGTAAAGGCGGGTGAGAACAGAGCAGCAGAGTGTCCAGGCTCCGAGAGTACAGTGAGTTTGAGCTCAGGTATGCATAGAAAAGGGGAAGCAATGGTGCAGGAGAATTATCTGTATTCTGTCAATCATATTTTAATAAAACGCTGATTGGCCAGGCAGGCAGTATAGGCGGGAAAGCCAGACAGGAAGTAGAAGTGGAGCAAAGAGACTGGGAGTATTCTGGCAAGCAGGAAGCTCCCTTCACAGTTCTGCCCAGACCACCGGAGAGGAAAGATGTAAGCTGCCCAGCTGAGAAAGGTACTGAGCCGTGTGGCTAACATAGATAATAATAATGGGTTAATATAAGTTACAAGGGTTAACAAGAAGCCTGAGCTAATGGGCCAATCAGTTTATAACCTAATGTAGACTCCATGTGATTTTCTTTGGAACTTGCTGGCTGTGGGGTACCGGGCGGGACAGAAACCCCAACAAGCCAGGCCCCCTCATGTTACAAAGCATTTTCAGGCTATCTTTAGACACAGTGCTGCTGAAGCCTCTCCAGGAACATACAGCCCACGTTCACAGTAGGCCTCCTTACATATGTGGCTGACAGGGTTAGATGTAATTACTGGGAAGTAGGAGAAAGAGCGGGGAGACAACATGTAACTACCTATCCACACCTCCCAGCCACGGATCCCCATCCCTACCTTTTACCCTGGCACGGGACACTGTGGTGGTTCAGAACAGCAGTGACACACTGCTGTCAGCTTGGACGGACACTAGTTTTTCCCTGACAGGAGGGATGACCAGGCCAAGATACATGTTAAATTGCCGTTTCTCCATACACTCTATGGCTACAACTGGTTGTCAGCCTCTCCTGGCCCAGAGAGCCTCAACAGTTTCGAGGATTCTCGGGTGTTCTGAAGGCCATCCCCACTGGGGTTCATTGGACTTCGTGGGACAGTTTTTCACAGTTAGGTCACAGCCTTGTTTCCGTCACACACCAGCCTCGTGAGGTGGGTGCGGCACTGGTCAGGCTTCCCCTACCCACGGCCTCAAACATGCAGCAGCTTTCACAGTTCCGTCAGTCCGGTGAGTGACACATTTAATGTAATGGTGTGACTTTAATTTACATTAAAATTGATGTTGAATTGTAGATGAATGTGTAATCTACTCACAAGCACTCAACAAAGGCCTATCCTGCCTACAACTTGGTACACACATTCACACTGTTTCTAGAGTAGTAAGAGAGAAGTGTCGCTCAGCATTTACTTTCATTAGAAGTATTGTGTGTGGGTCCCCATAACTGTGGGCTGCCCACTGTCCCCAGGGTGTACCTTTAGGTGTGTGGCACGCTTGAAGGCCTTTCTGCAGACCCGGCAGCCATGGATCCGCTCCTTCCCATGCACCTCCTTGCTGTGGTGCATGAGCACCGCGGCTGATGAGAAGGCACGCTCACAGTCCAGGCACTGGTGTAAAGGGCCCTCCTTTTCAGGCTGGCTGGTAGGGGTCAGCTGGGCAGAGACATCAGTCACCTGGAGAGAGTTAGGAGTTAGTTCTAGGTTACTAGAAAAGTGTGGTTTGCAACTGCAGGTAGGAAAGAAAATTGCTGTCTTGCCTAATAAGAACACAGCTGGCCAGCTTATTCCAGGAAAAACTTAGAAATTCTATAAGGCCAGAAAATACAATTGTCTTGGGATCCTGGCCAATGAGGGAGTATGGGGATATACCCACCAGACTAGACAGCTACCAAACTCCTCTCTTGGCCACATAAGCTGTGTGCTTAACCACAGCTGAACAAGAATGAGGGACCACAGAGCCACCATTGAGGCTGGTAAAGACCAGATAAGACATATATGAAAGGTTCTGGCAATGTAAAATATCAGACATTGCTTTAAAATGTCCCAGTTTGGAGCAGCTAGATGGTTCAGCTCATAAAGATGCCTATCTCCAAGTCTGATGACCTTGTACCCACATGTTGGAAAGAGAGATCCAATTTCTCCAAATTGTCTCTGTTTTCCACCCCATGTGCCTACACACATACATGCACACACAGGACACACACATGTAAACTACAAATGTAATAAAACTGCTGTGATTTGGATCCCCATATACTGCGCTAAAACTAAATCAATGGTGTTTCATTAGCATTGTTTGAGCTAAGTTATTTTACCTAAACTGTGGATTGCAACTAGTGGGTTGGTTTTCAAGTCAATTTCATGGGATGCCACCAGAACTTTCAAGAATAGCAAAAAAAGCAGAAGGCTAACTGTGTGTCCCACAGAAACAGGCAACCTCAGCTTTAGAGATAAGTAATAATCTAATGAAGCAATCATAAAAAAAATTATGTGATTGTCAACATTTTTACCTGGTTTGCTCAATACATTTTTCAAAATACTGGAATATTCAAGAGTGGATATAAAAAAATTAAAAAGAACAAAACAGAAAAAAGCAGAAGATACTGCAAGGATCTCATTTTAAAATACTCAAATCAAAGAGAAAGTGAGCATGTGTGTATATGTGTATATGTACATGTGTGTATATGTATGTGTTAGTGGAAAAAAAATACACAAATACATGTTAAGGCAGTCACAGAACATGTGAATGAAAAAGGTTTGTAAAGCCCCGGAATAAATGATTATCAATGTTGTTCTGTAATAGTTGGTAAATGACTATGGTGGTGAAAAAATGACAGAAAAGTTGCTTGGCAATTAAGAGCACACGATATTCTTGCTAAAGGACCTAGGCAGAACCCCAGCTAGCTCCACATGGTAGCTAACGATGGCCTGCAATTACAGCTCCAGGGTCTAATGTCTGATGCCTTCTTCTTGCCTTTGCAACACCGCCAGCACATGATACATGGATGGAGGCAAATACTCACAAACAAAATGAGTCTTAAGAAAAAAGGAAGAGAGGGAGGGAGAGAAGAAAATAATGGCAATCAACAAAGTCTGTGATTAGAAGAGACACCTGCTCCCTCACCATTGGAAATGCAGGATGTTGCTCTGAAAGAACATTTTACTCATGAGATGCTGATATCTGCCCTACCTCATTTATTCTTTTCATATAGCCTAACCTCTCTCTAAAAAGTTTCCATTGGAGTCAGTGGACTTGATGAACAGGAAAGCCAACAACACAAATGTCTAAACCTCTGTTCTACTCACAAACAATGTAGTGTCTTGTTATTAGAAAAATCTGGGTTCCTAGGTGATGGAGGAGGGTTATCTGTCTATTGTGTTATTTTCATTGGTTAATAAAGAGACTGCCTTGGCCCTTGATAGGACAGAAAATTAGGTAGGCAGAGTAAACAGAACAGAATGCTGGGAAGAGGGCTATGAGACAGACGCCATGGAGCCAGCCACCAGGTCTGACATGCTGAATCTTTTCTGGTAAGCCACCATCACGTGGTGCTACACAGATTATTAGAAATGGGTTAATCAAGATGTGAGAGTTAGCCAGTAACTAACTCTCTAGAGATAATGGGCCAGGCAGTGTTTAAATGAATACAATTTGTGTGTTATTATTTCCGGGGCTAAGCTAGCCGTGCGGGAGCCGGGCGGGACTAAAAGCAGGCCTGCCCGCAGCTCCTCACTACACCTAGGGAGCTCTGGCTCTTATCAGTATATTTTCATCATTCAAGGTTACCCCACATCTCAGTTCCCCATCTGCTATGGTGACAATTAGACACAGTGGAGCCACACCGAATTACACAGAAGTGTCCTAGAGCAAAGTCAGCCTCAGACACAGCAGCAAGCTTTACCGCCACAGGAAGCGACATGAGTGAAAGAAAAAATGCCAATGGCAGCAATGTAGGCTCCCACGACACAACCCTCAACTGCCCAGTCTTGAGCCAGCACCATGCCAGGAAGAGACAGTGGAAACGAGTTACTCTGACCCTGTAAAGGCAGCCTATAAGGAGGCAGTATGTGCTAGAGATACACAGAGACGCAGGAGAGCATTCGTCATGTCGTTCCAATTTGGATTTCTCCCCAGTGAAGGATTTGGCCAGGGAAGAGCAAGACCCCACCTGATAGTCCTTGTAGCAAGCAGTTTTACCAACTCAGCATGTGCTCTGCTAGGACCTGAACCTCCTCACACTGCCACTATCATCTACTGATGAGAAAAGCGGAGTTCATGCTAGCGTGGGGCTTCTCAGAGCTCTCCAGTTAGAATATGGTGTCATAGTAGGTATACATTGGTCAAGGAAAAAACCCAAGTTCCTCACCACTTTCAGTCTCCTGTCAAAGGTTTGGTGGGAAGCGGAGCCAGGCAGAGGCCTGAAAGCATGGATGAGGCTCAGACACTGACGGTGGCAAACACCTCTGAGAACACCTCATACTGACTGCTCACTTACGCAAATCAACGTCCCCTCCCCACTTCTGTATTTAACATTTTGAATTCTGAAAAACATAATCACAAGCTAGATCAAGTTTTTGTTATTTAGTCCACTTCATTACTACCTACTACTAAAATGGAGTAGAAAAACCTCAAGCTAATTTTAATATAGGAATACTCTGTGGCTTTGGAGGTCTATAAAACTGAATGCTAAAGAAAGGCACAAATTACAGAACAGTAGATCACTAGTCACATAAAACAAGAAGTGGGTAGTGGTACTGGTCCTGAATAAGGACCTTAGAAACTCAAGGGAGCAGACAAACAGACTGGAAAGCAGTGACAAGGAGTCACTGCTTTCCCTAATTATCAAGGTTCATGGTGGACAGTCAAGGACTAGGTGCTAAAACTCCACCACATACCTGGAAGAAAGGGCTCCTGGGACATAACTTATAAGTCCTGGGGGCATCCTTCCAGGTACGTGCACTCTGCTAACAACATCCTTGACCATGTCAGGCAGTTCGCTAACTTGAAGTTGATGGTGGATACCTTGTTCTGTTTGCCTGGGGACCTGGACCTCCCTCCATCTTGTTAACCTGGGGTGGACGCAACTGGTAGCTAAGTTAGCAACAGGGGCACTCCATATCTACCTACTCAACCCAACGACTTGGGAAGTACTGTCCTGTCACCATTGCAGGGACTATCAAAACTTCCTGGTACACTCCACTGTGGTGCACAGCTAGGCCTGAGTGCTGGATGTGAGCTCCCCCGACACCCCTCTCTGCTGCCTCTACTCTGTACCCTTCTACACAAATGAATTATTTACACACACTGAGATATAGCTACATGCTCTGGTCTCTGAAGACAAGACTGGGAAACTTTTTGGTGTTGCTAACATCCAATCTCATGAAAAAAAAATCCTTGTGCTGTTAAAAATCTGGTAAACTAGTTATGCCTCATTTCTGAAGAATATAAAGGTTAAAGCTCCCCCAAATACAGAGATCACCAATCACTTATTCTGGTTCAGGCTCAGCCAAGTATTAGAAAATGTTTGTAGACTTTCCTATGTTCAGACTATCATTACTACACGTACAGGTCCTAAAACATACACTTCAAGAAAAAGAACAATTAAACAAGAAAAATGTCTTACCTATATGCAGGTAAAATGCATATGAAACATAAAGGAAGAAATAAAAGAACCAATAAGTGCTTCAAAAAAAAATACACAAAATGAACTAATAAACATTAAGTAAAAAGCCACAAGAAGACTGAGTAGGAAACAGGTAGCAAACACTGTATGACATTGCTGTTGGCCACATCTAAGATGGTGGTTCTAAGCCACACCTATCACTGACCCAGGTCTGGGGAGTTGTCACCTGCCCTGGTCATGAGACCCACAGTGCTCAGCACCTCTGCTCTGGGTCTGACAGGATACTCTTCATTGACTAAGGGCATCCCACATGGGCCTTTCACTGTTCCTTCTGATACTGAATAAGTAATGCAGGTGCCATACCTGGTAAGCTATTTCTTCACCAGCAGCCGAGGACTGTGGAGTGTGGCTCACTAATATGACTTGTGGTGAGCCTGCTCCACTTTGGCCTGAGAGAGAGGGATCCGTGAGCAATGCTGGGAATTGCTGGCCCTGGTAAAAGATTATTATCATTTTAGAAGTTGTCACATTATCAAACCACATAGACTTTTTTAAAAGACCATTAGGGGTTGGTAATATGGCACAGTGGATAATAGTATAAGCTGCCAAAACACACACACACACACACACACACACACTATAAATAAATAAAAATGTAATTAAAATAAAGACCTTTTATGGCACAATCACTTTGGAAAGCAAAATTTACTACATGACCCACGGTAAAAGAGATGACACAAAGGTCCATCCAACAGCTGGCAGAACGTCTCAGCAGAAGAGCTCGTTCACAGCAGCCTGAGTGTGGAACTGCTCCACTCTCACCAACTGCTGGATATGCAGATGGACTAAGGGGTACTCATGCAAGGGAGTACTACTGTGACCCCCACACACAAAAGAATATATTCAGCAATGAAAAGGATAAAGTAGATACTATATGCTGTACGACAGGGGTGAGCCCTGGAAACCCATTCATAAAGCCCTACATGATGTATGAAGACATTTACATGGAATACACAGAATAGACACACCTGCAGAGAGAGAGCAATGGCTACAGAGACTGTAGGTGAGATCAGGGCAGTGCTTATTGTCAACTGCATCTAGAGTCACCTAGCAAACCTCTGAACATGTCTATGAGGAAATGTCTAGCCTGGGGTACTTGACAAGTGAAGATCCATCCTGAATGTGGGCAATATATCCCACTGGGCTGAATAAAAACAAGACAGCAAGATAAGTCAGATTTCATCTCTCTCTTCCTGTCCAGGAATGCCATGTGACAAAGCTGGGGAACTGGCACAGGGGCTAACTAGGGCTGGACACTGATGGATGGCCACTTTCTTGAACAAGAAAGGCCCCCCTAGGCAAATTCACATATTTGAAGGTTTGCTTCCCAGTTGGTGAACTGTTTAGGAAAGATTAGGAGGTGTGACCTTGTTGGAAAAAAGGGTGGGATTTGAGGTTTCAAAAGCCTAGGTCAGTCCCAGTCTCAGTCCCATGCTCTCTCTCTGTCTGCTGCCTGTGAATCAAGATGGAAGCTCTTAGTTACCACGCTAGCGCCATGCCTGCCTGCCTGCTGACAATTCCCGACCATGACAGACTAACCCTCTGAAACTGTAAGCAAGTCCTCAAAGTGCTTTATGAGCTGCCTTGGTTATGACAATAGAAAAGTTAATAAGATAGCAACTGATTATCATTAGTTATATACAAGTCAATTTAAGTTCTACTCAATGTTACAAGAAAGTTTCTTACCAGTTAATAATTTCCCCTCTTGACAATTAATATGTAAAGAACAAATTTATAAAGCCTTTTCAAATGGTCCTAGAAGTTCTCTCTGTAGAACACTCACCTGAGAGGTGATATTCAGTGTAACTGTGTCCAGACCTCCAGACAACATGCCCTGAGTATCAGCCAGGGTCAGCGTGACACTGGCATCACCACCCACACCTGATGAAGACATAACCAGGTTCTGGGTTGAAATGGCTGATGGTGACATCGGTGTTGTTGAAGGAAGGCTCCCACTCGTAGGATTAAGTTCTAAAAAAGAAGCAAAATAAAGAAAGCTGAGGAAACACTGTCCTAGGGCCTGGGAAGAGTCTGAAGAGCTGATCTGAGACCTTTGTCACCAGCACTGCGCAACACAAGAAAACCACAGATCGCCTCTGATGCACTCGGATGACAGAGGCTTTCTTTGGAGTCTAGGCAGTACAAGCACGTCTAAGCACGTATCCACTTCTCCCGCACAATCTGGCAGGTGTGCCTAACCTTTGACTCTTCGAAACAGCAGCATCATCTACGAAGTTCATGCTTGAGAACCATGCAATCAAGTTACAAAAAGGGGGGAAAATCGTGTTTTAAGTAAATTCACAATTTTGTGTCAGTCTACATTTAAAGTTATCCAGTGCCACCTTTGCAAGTTAGACATGCCTGATAAAGGAAAAAAAAAAAAAAAAACAGAAGAGGGAAGATAGGCCTCTGGCCCTAGTCAGTGCTAATACCATAGAAAGAAAACTCTGCAAGAATTTCTAAGACCATAGACCGCTGAAGAAAAGAACCAGGTGGGACCCGTGAGACAACTAGATACCAAGTTTAGTGGGCAAACCTGACTCTGCTGTTTCCTCACATGCCCTCCTAAAGGTCTACTTATTCTGAAATGCAAGCTGTCAAAAGAAATCTCACATACTTCTGATAGTAGTAACATATTCAACATGACATCCTCATTTTCTTTTGATGCAACAAAACCTTCAAATGTTTTACTGAGCAGCCAATGATAAGACAAGGAAGATAACCAGAGCAGAATAAGCAAAACCAGACAAGCCTTTCCTTCTGGAAACACACACCTATGCCCTCCTGGCAACTGAGATGGGCTAGAACAGGATCATCTGTGTCCTGCAAGGGCATCAGCATTGAACACACATGCACAACCGGTCTACATGCTTTGTTCTCACAACCCTGAACCCTTAACCTACAAACATATGCTCATTATCCTGGACCAGGACGGTGCCAGGCACTGAGGACCCTAAAGCAATACTGAAGCTGAGTTCATAAAACTATGACCTTGTAAGGTATAAATAAAAAAAAACAAAACAGGCTCCTGCCAATACCTCTGCGACCTGTGTGACAACAAACAAGAGCCTCGCCTAAGAGTCAGGGGCCAACAGGAAAGCCAGGCTACTTACTTGTAAGTGGAGTTCTCCAAATACAAGGCCTCCATAGATCCACACTCGTGGAGTCCCATAATGTGCTGCACAGACCTGGAACCTTCAAAAGCAGTACAACCATTAGGAGGCTAGGATCGTGCGCACAGAAGCAGCCACTGGGGCTCCCTCCCCCCTGCTCACATCGTCCACATTGCTAATGCACCAGAAGAAGTACAGTTCTGAGGAGGCGTCTCACGCATCAGCGCTAAATTACAGACCACCACCAGCAGGGCTCCGTGTGCTACCTCCACATGTCCTGGCTCATGCACTAACACTTGGTTGCTGCACAAGTGACTAGAAACAAGAAAAGAAAGGTCCTAGGTGACACTACGAGGAACAATGTCACAGAGTAACTGCCTGGGAGCCCAGGGGAACTGGACAGAAGCCTGTTTCTCAGAATCCCATCTCAAGTCATTATTAAAATGAGTAAAGTAAAGCTGACACTACTCACTGCTACTGGATGGCTCAGAACTCAACCTCACCCTGCCTGCTTAGGTCAAAGAACCAAAGGGCCTCTCCCACCCACAAGTAAAATGCATCTCACTTCCTAGTGATGACCACACATCAGAAAGTTCCAACAGGACAGGAAATCTAAAGAGAAAAATGAAAGTCCACTTGTTCAGGGAACAACTTCAGGTAATGCCACAGTTCTTACTCAACACAAATGAAGAATCCTCCACGGCATTCTCAATCAAGTCACTTTTCACAGAGACAGACACCGCCAAGAGCTACCCCAGTAGAACTGAAAAGAACACAAAGCTACAGCAGGAAAGCAGAGATTTCCCTAGACACATGGCTGGGGTGCGTTACAAACAGCTCTTCATTATCATGTTAACCTCAAAAAAGTACAAGTGAAGTCTAGTACTTAAATAAGGGCTAGACTTATTTTTCTGAAACCACTGTTCCTTCAGGGCACAACTCAATAAAGTCTTATTTTACTTTATTATGATTACAATAAAAAAGTGACCTTTAAGAAGAACTGAATACGTCAGATGTGGTAGAACATCCTATAATGCCTGCATCCAGGAGACCCAAAGAGGAAGACCAACAGCTCAAGGGCAGCTGTAGATACATTGCTAGCCTGAAGCCAGCATGGGCTACCTGAGATCTTGTTCTGAAAACAAAAACAATGAAACAAAATAAACAAACAAAAACCATGTTCTATGAAATCACACTTGTGCCACTTGTTGGCCTTAATTCTCAGGCAAATGGAGTCCTATTGAGAAAGTTCTTTTCTACACACACATCATGCAAGTACAGCCTATGCTTTCTTCTGGTGGTTTCTGTGTTCCAGGATCCAAGTTTACATCTTTGTTAGTTCCTTTACACAGCGACAGATCTGTACTCAATTTCATTCTTCAGCATGTATACAGCACCATTTTTGAAGATGCTTTCTTTTCTCAGTATATACTTTTTGGCTTCTTTATTGTATATGAAGTGGTTGAAGTTACCTGTACTCATGTTTGGGTGTTCTTCAATCCTGTTTCATTAGTCTACATGTCTGGGTGTTTTTTTTTTTGCCAGCACCCTATTGTTTTTATTATTATGGCTCTGTAATCTATCTTCATAAAACTAAAAAGCTTTTGCACAGCTAAAGAGACAATCAGTTGGGTAAAACACCTGCCCACAGACTAGGAGAGAATCTTTGTCAGCTATATATCTGACAGAGGATTAATATTCAGAATATATAAAAACTTAAAAATGAGTTAAAAAATAATTCATGGGCCTGGTACCTGAACAGAGTTCTCAAAAGGGGAGGGGGTGGCTTAGAAATATCTCAAAATATGTTCACCATTCCTAGCAATTATGAAAATGCAAATCAAAAACAACTTTAAGATTTTATCTCACCCCAGTCAGAATGGCAAAGATCAACAAAGCAAAGAGAACCCTCATTCACAGTTGGTGGTATTATTACAAACTGGTTTAGCCATTATAGAAACTAGAGTGGTGAAAAAGCTAAAAACAAGTCTACCATTTACCCAGCTATACCACTCTTGGTATATGCCCAAATGACTTAACAACTTATTCCACAGATATCTGCTTGCCCACGTTCCTTGCTGCTCATTCACAATGGCTAGGAAATAGAAACAACCAAAATGTCCTTCAACTGACGAACATAATAGAATGTAGTACATAAACATTATGGGATACTATTCAACTGCAAAGAAAATGGAACTTTTTCTTTGTAAACTTTGCAGGTAAATGGATGGAACCAGAAGAGATCTTATTGAGTGAGGCAACCCAGACCAACACAGACACGTTTCATGTTCTCTTTCATCAGAAGCGCCCAGCTCCAAATTTACAGATGTGAATACATATTCTGGAATAACTTCAGAAGTCAGGAGAGTAAAAGGGACTGGTGACAGGGTAGAGGGGTTGGGGAGCAGAGAGAATAGCAGGGTACAAGCAATCTGGTCAAGGAATGGAAAGGGGGTCCTTAGGGAGAGGGACGGAGGTAAATATAGAAGATGGTGGGAGCAGGCTAAGGAGGAAAAGTAGATACGAGTGACCCAATTACGGAAATGGAGAAATGGGGAGAAAGGTGGACTCTTTAGGGATGGGAAGGGAGGTAAATACAGAAGGTGTGGGGAAAGTAAAATAATAATAAAGATGACTGAAAAAAAGTAAGAAATCATACCATTAACTATTTACCTTTTAAAACCCCTTATAATACATGTAATTCTGTGTATAAATACACATAAATAACTTAAATGAACTTTTTTTTATGCAGGCTGACAATGTTCCCTCCAAGAGTCAAAGACCATCTAACAAAACCCTAGCACCAGACATGAGAAGCCCTCTTTTGAGTTGTTGCTCAAGGCTGTTCATGAGATTCCCAAAACACGTTGCTACTGTCCTTGGTTTCCCCGAAAGGTTAAGTCCCTATTGCTGAAGACATCATGTACTTCAGAAGCAGGGCCAGAGGCCCATAAGCTGGCACTGACCAGAATGCCTCTTCCCTGAGGCTCTGGAAACACTGTGGAAGGCAGCAGAGAGATTGTAAGAGTCAGACAATCAGTGTGCTTGCTGTAAGATTTGTCAACTAGTACCACCACAAGGTGTCATGCAGGCTTCCAGAACAGGTAAGCAACCACAATCCTACACAGCTATAATACCTATGAATCACAAAAACTGGCATGGTACAAGAACTCTAATATGGGTGCATTAGTGGCTGGCACACACACCCTGGCAATAACCAACAGCTCTCTAACTGGACTTAAGACCCACTCAACAAGAGGGAAACCGTGCCTGGAACTGGATACCTGGAAAACTACACAGTGCTAATGCAGTCACAGATCTTGGAGCAGAGACTCTATCACTTTACTAAACCAGCATAATCCCTAAAATGTCTAAACATCTGTCCTTACACCCGCAGGTAAGTATAATCCTCACTGCTCATCAAGGAAACTTCTCTTTGCAACAGTCACAGACCACAGAAAATCACAACCAATCAATACATCTACAACACACTCCCATAGTTAAGGCTAAGGAACATTGTTGGAAGAGGGGGTGGGAAGATTCTAAGAGCTAGAGGGTCAGACAATTTGCTGTGAGATTGAGTCTATCAATAATATCAGAAGCTACACTCATAAGGTCTCACCAACATGACTGCCTAGACATGAACTCAAAAAGGACAATGAAAGACATTCTAAAATGGATAGGAAAAAGCTCAAGAGACCTACACAAAAGACTACAGGCTGAGATGCTGAGATTTGGATTAAAGGTCTTCTACAGGGAAGAGCATACTGTTTAACTATCCAATAAGAAATGGTCAGTCCTGAAAATACACACACAAGTAACATTATAAAGACTACTCAGGTTTTATTTAGGAATACA